GGGGGGGGGGTTTGATCTGCTTCGTTTCCTGGAAGAGAATGCAAGCCTGTACAGATAGAGAGCCCCTGGAGACAACAAAGAAGATGAGGCAGTTGAGCTGCTGGTGGTGCTGCTGCTTCTGTAGGGCCAGTAGCGGGCTCGCAGCAGCAACCAAGACATACAATAAAAACCCGCTTTAAAAGAGCCCTACTCTGTTTGTTCAACAATATGAAACAATTCCTGGTGTTAACGCTGCTCTTGAAACAGCTGCAAGAACAAGAGGAGGCTGATGGCGTACCTGGAGACAGGGCTCTGCCGCCTTGGAGCCAAGGCAGCAGCAGCAGCAACAGCTGCTGATGCTCTAGCTGCTGCTGGCGTGCCTGTTGTGAGTTTGTCGTAGCAGCAGTGAAGAGTATTGCGCAAATGGGTGTGGTATTTTATTTGCGGCTTCTCGTATCCACTTTACTACCACCGTCCGTGTACACAACTGCCTAGCTGTTCAGCACAGCAGCAGCAGCGGAAGCAGCAAAAGCATCGACGTCTCGAGGGCCTTGCTCTCCGCCTCTTCTACTGTCTTTTTAGAGACTTCTGATCCATTTCAACCTCATTGGGACACACAGGCTACAGCGGATGCTGCTGTAGCGCTTCTGCTGCAATTCCTGCTGTAGACCTCTCGTGTGCGTCGCGCCGTCATCGCGTCGTTGACAGCAGCAGCGTCGGTTACAGCAACACTCGGAGCAGCAGCAATCGTAGAAGCAGCAACAGCAACAGGGAAATCGGTGTGCATGCATCGAGTTCTACAGGGGCTGTCAACACCAGCGGCCTGATTGCGGATCTAGCGGAATCTCCCCCGCTGCCTCTGCTCCTGCTGCTGCTGCTGCTGCTGTTCGCTGACAGCAGCAGCCTCTGCTTGCTGAAGGGATAGACTACAGCAGCAAGACCCGTTTCGCAGCTGTACCTGCTTCCCGTGCTCCTCCTCCCTCTGTACTTGGTCCAAACGTCGGCGCCCCCCGTCACCTGGGCAGCTGTTGCTGTTGCTGCGGGTGCAGTTGCTGCAGTGTGTGGCGTGCATGCTGCTTTGGGGCTTCATTTGCAGTGGAAGAGATTGTATTTTGTTGGGGCGTTTCCACAATGTGGAATGTGTCTTCGCGGCGCGCCTCTCTAGCGCTCCGAGTCCAGGGGACGGGATCGTCTCCGGACATGTCTTCTCCCTGTGTGTTGCCTGAAGGCACAGCCTTTGTGCAGCGGTGGTCTCGCTGTGGAAGTGCTGCAGCTGCTGCAGCGGCAGCAGCAGCAGCATCTACAGCTTCAACCACAGCAGCAGCTACTGGGTCCCCTCCGGGATCTCCTGTAGGATCTCCTGTAGGGAGTGGAGACGGCTCCAGCAGTGGGGGCGCCTGGGATAGACGATCGCAGAAGAGACCGTCGTTTGGTGCCTTCAGGGCTTTCTCTGCTGCAAAAGACTTCAGTAGGGTAGCATGCCTTGCGTTTCCCGAGGAGGCAGCAAACGCGTCGTCTAGAGTAAGTTCACGATGACACACAGCGGCAACGGCATACTCAGCGAACTGCGGGATGCTGATGTGGAACGGGTGACGAAGACAGATATATAGACGGAGACGCTGAACGGGAGACTGGCCTACAGGCAGAGGGACATAGAGGGACAGATGTGTTGGGGGGGGGGGACATTTTTGGAGACAAAGGGGGATAATACAGTGACACATGGATGGAAATTGGTTAAAAGTGTGAGGGATATGGAATGGGAGGCAGGATGGAAAGGGGAATGAGTTGCACCCCGAGACTCCCTTAATTGGATAGATATTAAGAGGCAGACATAGGGAAAGCCAGGGACGGCGGCACATAGCGACGACCCTGAGCCGCTGTTAGGTGAACAGAGCAATTTAGTTTCGATGACAAAAGTAACAGGGGCTCGTCTGCTGAGCAGAGAGAACGTTTTTGAATTAGTGGCGCCGGTAGTTATGGGCTAGAGGGTTTGGCTAGAGGGTTTAAGGGTACAGACTTTTAGACGTTAGGCATCTATGCAATGTGCTTCCATACAATCTGGGTCGACTGATGTCTGTACAGTTTGGCCTTTGGGGTGTTATGCGCAGCTAGGGTACGCGCGGCTACAGCTACTGCTGGGCTATGTGGTGCCGGAGATCTTGGAGGAGGAGAGCTTCGCAGAAGATGCAGAGAGCAGGGCTCAGGAGACTGCGGGAACACCTGAGGAATCTCAGCCTGCGCTGCGTGTACCCTACAGGCCCTACAGTGCGTCCCTTCTCCGTCTTTGCCCCAACAACTGCACACATGACGGGGGCTGTTGGAGCTTTGCAGCAGTGGATGGGGCAAGGGAATGCATGCAGGCATATTCACTGGGTCGTATTGCTCCACGTAGATTTAATACAATTTTCCTTACGTATCCACGTTCTCATATTTGTATATAGACCTGCACTTGTGATGGTTTGCATGTACATATCAATGGATATGTCTGTTTATGTGTATGCATAAACGTGAAGAGGTGTACATGGATCAGTTTTCAGTCGACGTTCACTGAGTAAAAGCGGCGTGACCGAACGTCTGCTCCGTGTCGGTTCATGCATGCTCTTGTCCCTTCTGGTTGAGGCCCGCTTGTAGATGGCGCCTATGCTCCTCATATGCTCAGCCTACCTGCTGGTTTTGCTGTTGTTGCTGCAGTTGTAGTGAGTCTGAACGGCCGCGACATATACCGAAGTGCGGTTCTGCGCTGCGACTCGACGAGCCCAAGTGCTTGTCTTCAAGGAGTTTGGAATGAGAGGATTGAGATCCAGGTAGGCCCTTTTAACGCTAGTGGTGCTGTCTTCGGAGTTTCGTCGTGCGCCCTTGTTGATTGCTGTTGCAGTGGGCCGTGCGATTACTGTTGCTTGGTTGCGATCCCCTGCCGAGCACGTTACTTTCGTTGTTGCTGTTGCTGGTTGTTCTCTGGTGCAGCTGCACCAGCCCTACAGCGTCTTGCGTCTAGCGCTGTATGACAGAGACACTTCGACATCTGCCTTAGGTGGCGATGAATTGTTGGGGGCTGCGGACTTTCAGCTCCATCTTCTACTGCCACAGCGCATTTACGACATCACGTGAGCCCCCTGTCCGGTCCGCTTTCTAGCATATTTTGCCCACAGTCGAATCCATCACACTCTTGTCGTCTCCCTGTTTTGTCACTGCTATCTCCCTCCCGCCGCCTTGTTGCCCCTCGTTTGCCCCCCCTCTCTTGTTTCTCGTCAGCCTCATTTTTGCCTTACCCTCTTGCCCTTACTTATCCCCCCATGTTTTCCATGTTTATCACTCGTCTGTCCACCTGTGTGTTGCGTTCCACTGCGTATCCCTTCACACGGGGCTGCTCAGACGAACTGATCCACGGATGGCGAAGATGCACTGGACAGACAGAGCTGTCTGTCCAGTGCATCTTCGCCATCCTTGGATCAGTTCGTCTGTGGTATTGCTCCACTGTGCCTGCTTTTCTTGTTTTTGTTTGTTGTCTGTGTTTGTCTTCTTGTTTTCGCGCTTTCCCCCATGCCTCCTGCATGCCTGGGGCCTGCCTACTCCAGCATCAAGTTGCGACAGGTTGCTGCTGCTGTTGCTCCATCGCAGGACCGTATTCGCACCGTTTGCTGTTCTCGATGAAGGGGTCTTGTCCGGGAAGGAAGAGGCATTCGTTGTGCTGCAGGGCAATCGTTATCTGCACCGTTCACAAGACACTCGGGCGATAGTCAAAGAGACATCTTGTGGAGTGTGCGGCGACCACGGTGGAATCTGCAAGGACAGCAGCAACAGCTGCAACGGCGTGGACACAGAAGGGGCGTCGTTGTACACAATCGAACTGGACGAAGAGGCGGTCGCGAAGGTCGTGCAGGATCAGCTGCAGCAGCTGCAGCAACAGCAGCAGCAGAACCAAGGAGAGTTTGGGGGCTGTCGCATGCGATTGATGCTACAGCTGCTGCCTCACAAGGCTTCGAAGTGCAGCACCATCCCATTACTTGATGAGGTGTCAGCCTTGTTGCTCCCGACACCACAGGAGACTCAAGAGGCTGCGCTACCGCCACTCAACTTTCCCGCCGTTTGGAGCGACCTCCAGGATGCCCACAGAAAGCTTGTTGAAGGGTACTGTGATGGAGCTGCTGCTTCTGCGCCTGTTGCTGCTGCACATGCGTTGAGTTAGCGCTTCAGTGCAGTTCGAGCAGCACTGACAGATAGCTTCCCATCGTGTTTGTTGGGCGTCCCCCCGTTTGACTGTCTCCTAGTGTCATCTGGCTCGCATCTTATGACAGAAACAGCAAGCGAATTTCTGCTTTCGATGCGTTTGCTCCGCTGTTTCAGGCCTTTGGGAGTGCTTGCTGCAGGGCTGTACGATGCGGTGTACTGGGAGCGGCCGGCACTGAGCATTGCGTGCCTCCTTGCGTTTGTCTTTTTGTGGAGGCGTCCCTGTTTTTTGCCATCAGCTCTTCTGTTACTCTCAGTACGCTAGCAACCCTTAACCCTGGAGCCTAGGGCCCCGCTTCATGCGTTGAGGCAAGAGGCTTCTCTGCTTCTGCATCTGAGCGCTGTTTCTGCGCCTGTTTCCGCCAATGACCCCGCTTGCGAATGGCAGGCGTGGCGGAGTGTGTTTCTGTTTCCCTTCGCAGGGCCTGATGTTGCTGATTGTCTCCCTTATTCAGATGCCTCCGCCTCCCGAGGAGGCCAGTTCAGCTGGTCGGGCGGACAATTCCACAGGAGCCACTGCATCATCTTCTTCCTCAGCAGCAGCCACGACGGCAGAAACGGGGCGTGATGGAGACAGGGGAGTTACTCCTTTGGGGTCCCGGCAAAGAGGCCGTCCAGGGTCTCTAAAGGCCTTTGAAGTCAGTGAATCAGAGAACTGCGCGGAGACATCGTTGTTGCGGTCGCTGTTGTCTGCCGCAGTGCCGCCCTCGGTGCAGCTACGCGTACGGCAGTGCCACGTAAGCGTGTAACAGCAGCATAGCACCAGCACAGAAGGAGCGAAGCAACAACCACAGCAATTCCTGACGTAGTGCTTGAAGCAGGAGCTTATCAAATTTGCAAGCTTTACGAGGCGTGGCATGGTGTGGGGAAAGGGGCTGCGACGCGGCTGGTGTAGCCGTAGTATACATGGTGATTCCAGTACGTGTGGGGTGCTTGCATGCAGCATACACTTCGGCAGGTTCTCTCCTCCTGTGTATACTACCATTCCAGGCTGTGTGAGCGGCGGGAGGTGGTAAGCCACCGCCTTCGTGCCGGCCGAGACCCTTGGCCCCAAACCTGCAGACCGAATAAGGAATAGGTTGATGTTTTCTTACATTTTCAATTCGCTTTCAGCTTAATAGAGCCTCTGGAACAGCTATTTGGTATCTAATTTGGAAACTCAAGTTAGGCCCTGGGCTTCATTAGTTGCTACAGGGAGTACATCAGCAACGAGGGCTCTGCATTCCTCACTCCAGTTTTATCCTGTTCAGCATTTGATTGTGTGTGTCTCATCTTTGTGTTACGGTTGCAACGGTTATCCCGTTTTGGCCTGCAGATTGTAGGTGCGCTGTGGGTGTTGGGGGCGTGGGCGGGTGCTGAGCCTGCGAAGGCATGCAGTATCGCAAGCTACCTCGTTTTGGCGTCAGGCGAGTATTGTTATTCCGGTTCTTTCAGCCGCGTCCCGCAGCCTTAATCTGCATCCCTCCGCCACCCCAACTTTCTCGTTTTGTTGTTTCAGTTGCTGTTGCTGCTGCTAGCAGTGTTGCTGATACTATGTAGGTTGCTGCGTCCCGGCATTTGGCTGGAGTTGGTGTATTTCTTTGTGCCATTCTCAGGTTTGGCCCTGTTTACAAGCCGACTGGTGGTGGTGGGGGCAGCAGTGCGGTTGCTGCTGGCGTGCTATCGAGAGGTGCGTCTGTGCAGACAGCGCAAGAGGAGGCAGCACTTAATTGCTGCTCCAGTGGGATGAAGAAGGAGGAGGAGGTAACCCGAAACAGGAGCAGGTGCAGGGACGGGAAGACGTTGGATACCATCAGTTTAGCTGCCGCAGTCGCATGACCGCCGCCGCGCCGTTGAGGTACTTCAGCAGCAGTAGGAGACGTTGCTACATCTGCTGCTGCACGGTTTTATTTCGTGAGTTTGGCACGTAAGGGTATAATGGACGTAGCTCATCTTGGACAGAGTGGGCGAATAAACAAGCGACGGAAGAGACTGCCTGGGGCAGCTTCCTGCACTTGAAGGCTTTAAATGGCCCCGGGAAGAGTAGCCCCCGTTGCGGTTTATACAGCTCAGTTTTGGCAGCGTCGGGAAGCAGAGACAGACAGCTACGGGCGGCGCTGCTGTCGTCTGGGGAAAGTAGGTTTTTTCGTTGTTTCCTCTAACTGCTGGAGAGAATGTTTGCTTGACTACTTTGTTGTTGGAGTTTCTGCTTAGTGTAGATTAGCAAGGCACTGTTGGCAAGGAAAGAGCCTCGCGTCTTGCTGCCAGGGAGAGCAGTGAGAGTAAACGATGGGTACAGCGCAATGGAAGGAGGGGCTGGCCAGGAAGGTGCAATTGACGATTATGCCACTCATGGAGTCCACGTAGACAGTTGTTCAATGGGGGCATTCGCACTAGGGTAGGATAGTTTAGGAGATAGAGGAACGATGGAAACGATGTAGCGTTAAATGCTCGCTATGGACTCTACGGCTGGGGATCCCACGCATAAGAGCTGTGAACAGGAACGGCGGTATAAAGGCTCATTTAGGGCCGTCTCCCGCGCTGGCTCAGCAGACGTTGCAGTCGAGGCTCCCACAGAAGGCGGCAGGCACAAGCAAGTATTTCAAATCATGTGGTACACCAGTAGCTGTCCGCACACAACACGACAGTGTTGTACCAACGCTCAGTTCAGCAGCAGGGACGGGAGTTGCGAATACGGATCGTCCAGTTGGCCTCTGTCTAGCTGGACCTCTCCTCCCTGTGCCCGCCCCGCCCCCTCTTCAGAGTTGCACGCTGTTTCTGGTCTGGATGGCACTGCCAGGGACTGTTGCCACTGATGCTGGTGCTGGGCCGTTGGTGTGGGGTTGTTGATGGGGGCCTCCTCTTCTGTAACTGCATTCTTTGGCGGGCTGGAAGTATGCGACAGTTGAAGGGACCCAAAAGTAATCCCCAGAGTCTTCTGCCAGCTCATTAGGATACTGCAACAGAAGCAGAAGGAGTAGTGGTTTCGAAATGGGCCAATGAAGGGCCCTGAGCTACCCCTTTCGTACACGTCTATACATTAGACACGACGCCAATTGGCCTGGGAGAAGACACTGCACCTCGTAGCTACGAGCGTAGAGGGGTTATGCACTTATAGAGGCAAACGAGGTTGGGCTACGAGACAGAGTCCGCAAACAACGAACGGCAGAGAGAGGGGAACAGCTGGGAGATATGCGGCACGTAGTGGCTATTGCGTGGTTACAAATAGGGTAGATATGGCTGTGGTGAGCTCCGGTGTTTGCACAAGACAGTGTATAGCTTGCCGTTGTGTAGCAGCATCCGAGACCGCCACGGAGAGGCCCTGTTGCCCACATCGGCCGACGCGCCCTGCACAACCCCAAACCGCACGGACGCAACACCCAATGGGCATCAGGTTGAATTGACGCTGACCCTACCGCCACCAACACAACCCACCTCCACAGGCTCCGTGTACAGCATAATAATGCTCAGGAGTCCTTCCCCAAGACGTACCCGCGAGGTGTATGTACTCCCTGACATTCTTCACGCGGCCGAGTAAGAGGAGCACCTCTGCCTAAGAGTGTGGTGGGAACAGGTGACAACGCAATGAGGAGACAACAACTGTGCAACAAGTACAGATGGCTACCACGGACGCAACTCTATAACCTGCCGATACTGGATGTCTCTACATTTCTATCGATTGAACACCGTCTAAGCTGCTGCCTCCCCGAAGCACAGTACGAACACCGTCAACCGTATAGCCCAAAACCAAAGCCTTAAAGCCTTCCGCAGGACAGGGTCAAGCAGAGCAGGCAGGACCAATGGCGGAAGCTATTCAAGTCATGCAGCAATATAGCAGTTACTTATGACGTGCAATACAGAAACTTTCGTGGTAGACATGCACTGAGGAGATAGGTATTTAGACCAGCCAACAAACAGAAGCTTACACCTGCCACGTGGAGGCCTCGGGCAGCTTCCATCGTTGTGGCAATGAGCTGTTGGGGCTGATGGAACTGTCCGTTATCTGTTGAAATCAAAAGCATTCCACACACAGAACACGAAACGCAAAAATGCTAGAGAAGACGGGATGACGAGGCCAGACGCCGGGCCGCCGAGACCATCACAACCAGAGGGCCAGCTCAAACATTCAGCAATGATTCTGTCACGGCAGTATCAGCAGCAACGACGAAGGCTCTGGTTATTACACAAGAGCTACTTAACGCTTCCACGCTAGGCGCTGCTGCTGTAGTGGTCGGTGAGTGGGGAACTTTCACGCCTACCTTGCTGCTGCAGCCTAGGATTCCTCCACCACCCGCCGGTTTGATGCAACAGCTCCACCTGAGGGGTGCACCATGGCACAACCAGCAACAGTATATAAACCTGTATGTTTGTTGAGATTGCTGAAAAGCAGAAAAGGGGCCAGTAGCCGACGCAGGAGTGACGGTGTCCGCCTGCTGGCTACCTGGCTAGCTAGCTAGCTCGCTATATATATAGCTAGCTGACTAGCTGGTACCCGACCTTGTGGCCTCTGGCCTTCATGAACATCTGGAGCGTTCTCAATGACGACCCTTCCTGGAGCAGAAGCAGGGCTTTGCGGGGCTTGAGCTGGCTGCAGAGATCAGCGGCAGCATCGGCGAGTGTTTCTGCGTGCAGTGCAGCGAACACAAGCGCATCCTTCTTGCACACAAGCGCATCCCTCTTGCCAAGCAATGCAACCGAGCAAAGGATAAAAAACAGGAGGCACACTTCCAGCCCCTTTTCGGTGTCACGTCTTCTGTGCCGAATGCAAACAGACGCAAGACGGAGGCGCAAACAGTATACAGACAACAAAATACACAGGAAACAGAAAACAAAACGGAGGTAGAAATCATGACACAAAGCAGCGACACGCAGAAGCAGCTGCTCACCCGCTGAGTTATCAGGCACGGGGAATAATGCGTGCGACAAGCATGTAGGGATTATCTGCCACGGCCGGAGAGACTGCGTGGTAGCAAGCCCTGGAGTGCCTGCTGAAAGGGGGGACTCCACAGGAGCTTCGGATGAACAGACCCTCGCTAGCGTCGTCGGAGACACCAAATGTTCATTGGTTGACCTGCACGGAGGCGACACAGCCAGGAGCTGCCGGCCAGGAGGCTGGTGGGCTAATCCGTATAAAGGATATCTCCTCTATTTTGTACCACCACCGCTGCGCTGCGCTGCACTGGAATCCAACAACAAAGCAGAGAGCCCGCGGGAATGTGCGATATACGGCCACTCGGAAGTGAATTTGTTACTCAGAGGGGTTGACTGTTCTCTGCCCCATTCGCTGTCCTCTAGACACTCCTGCAGGGCCCGCGTTTGCCGGTACCCTTGCTTTCGCAATGCATGATGCCCTGTGAAGCTGTTGCAGCTCCTTAGGAAGCTCATCTGGCCTAATTAAGCCTCCGCCGCGGCACGTTTCACCAATTAGAGGCATTTCAAACTTCATCTAATGGTTCGTGTTTTCCTTTTGAGAGCAACGAATTTTGGACAATGAATTCGCACAGTGACCCCTAATGCGATTGAGCGCTGCTCTGAGAATCCGGCCATCCTATTTGGGACTAATACTCATTAGTGAGCTCCGTAACCCCGCAAACGGCTGTCTACACTGCCCTTTTGCCGCACAGATGAGCAAAGATGAAGGCGTATGCACCGTGTCTTACCTGATGATCGGCAATATGGCCTTGAAAGGGTTTGGCAATGAATGCATTCCCAGACCTACACTGGCCCCTTCTGCGGGTTTCCCCAGGGCTGTGAGGGTTCTGGGCAGACCCAGCAAGCCCTTGTCTGCGAGGCGCTCAAGGGCAGCCTTCATACGTTGCTGTGGAGTCGCGAATGTCCCAGAGAGGGACAGTCCCCTGTTGAAGCGCATAGGCTGCAGTTCGTTGTTTCGCCTCTTGCTGAGGAAGTCTTCTAGTGGCGGATCGCGTGCTTGCCGCAGCAGCAACTGCTGCTGCTTCCACCGAGTAAGGTTCGCAAGGTAGCGATGCAGCGGTCTGCCTAGAGATGCGCTGGCCGCCAGTAGCTGCAGCGGGAGAGGATGCCGGGAGGCGGAGACCGTCGAGGCCCGATGCAAATCTTGAGGTCTTGTCTCCACAAAATGGGCCCACGGGTTATCGGGCTTCTCCCCACTAATAGCGGTAGTGGAGCATCGACTTTGCACTAAGAGCCTCAGCAATACTTCAACAGTTTGGGGCTGTTTGAGCCTCTGCATGCGTTCCTTTAGCGGAGCGTAGCGGCCTGCAACACAGAGTCGCACCAGCGGCCCCCAACGAAGTTTTGACCGGTGGAAAATACCAACCAAACCCCAAAAACTGCGGCGGCCGATTGTGCATGCAGTACTCATGCTCTGCTGTGGAAGGTGGCATTGAAGAGGCACCCAAGGGGCCAAGGTCTTCTCTGTGTGTTTGGTGTGTGTTTGTCTTTGGGGCAGCATGACGAACAGAAACAAGGACAAGAGGCACGACACGCAAAGGAGAAAGAGATTGAGACAGTGAATGGATGCGCACAGGGGCAACCTAACGAATGGGGAGTAGAGCAGTAAGAGGAAAAAGGGGAAGGGAAAGCATACAGAAAGCACACGCAGAGACGAAGGTTTCACAGACGAGGAATACAAAGGACTGGAGGCAGAAAATGTTTGAGCCGAGTCAGTTGAAAGCAGATGTAGATACAAATTCAAATGGAGACCCAAATGCATGCGGACAAAGCACAAGAAACGCACAAAACGAAAAATACAGGCAAAGTTATCGACTGAGACACACAGAGCGGCAGAGACAGACATATAGAAAGGCTACATAGAGGGGCTACAGGGTAGGTTACACACGGAGAGGCTGCAGCATTCTGTCAATTTCGTCGAGCACGAAGTGGCGGACGCAGGAAGCGAAACGCCGCAAGGCCCCAGGGGGGCCTAAGGTCAGAAGGCGCTGCAAAGGCACACGAAAGTACATCCCACAACATGCATGAGCGAGGCCTTAGACGTAGGGCTTAGGGCAGAGTCCTTTTACACGATGCATGCCTCAGAGGTTGTTGAGCCAAGAGCGGGGTCCAGGTGGAGCAGCTGATGAACGGTACTAGGCAGTGCCAGTGAATGAGACAGTAACGTGGAGTAGAGAGACCCGTATAGGACGGGGCAGCGGAGATAAAAGAGAATGAAGGGACAGGGGTTAGGAAGGCTCGTGGGTTGCACCGTCAGGAAGCTCTTCAGAGTCTGTGGCGTCGCGAACAAAATCAGGCCCGTTGGATCTGTCCTGTGTCAAGTCCGCAGGAAGGCACAAAACTCCAGAGGAGAGCACCTCATCGGCGAGAACAGCAGCAGGGTGAACACCAGGACAAGGAGAGGCAGAGGTATCACGAGAAACAGAGCGACATTGAAGAGCAGGAGAGGTGAATGCAGAGACAGGAGGAGACAGAAGCGGCTGAAGAACACAAACGGAGGTTGGCAGCAACCGCAGGAGCATAGGTGGGCAAGCCAACATAGAAAGAGAGGGAGAAAGCCACGTATTCGAGGGGAAAGGGGAGCAACTGGCAAACACAGAGGGAAGACGGTAGGACATGGCAGGAAAAAAGGAGACAGCAAAAGGGCGGGGGAATCGGAAGATGGGCCACAGAAAAGGCATGATCAAGGGAACAACATGGAGCAGGAGGAAAGCACCGCCGAGAAAATAGCCACAGACGTGGAGACAGTCGAGAACGTAAGAGAGAGATTTGCTAGCTGGAGAAATTGGATAGGAGGAGGTAGACGGATACAGGATACAAAGGGGGCTAGAAGGACTCATAAAGAGGGGGAGGTGGGCAAAAGGGGACAAATGGGGAAAGACAAAGGCAGGGTGAGGCAAAAAAAGGACGATGTGAGACAACAGCAAACGGGAGGTGACAGAGGAAGATTGGAGGACATGGAATGTGACAGGAGCGGGAGGCGTAGGCGCCTACACTCTCTGTAAGTCCCTCAAGGAAGGCCAGCAAAGACTTTCCTGAATCTCCTTTCTAACAGCTTTGTGGGTGGTCGTCCTAGTTGCCGCGGCTGCTGCCTCTTGTAAGGAATCTCTGAGCAGCAGCAGCTGCTGCTGCTGCTGCTGCGGTAAAGTGTCATCGATCAACAACAGCTGGGGGACACGGAGAGGCGCTGACGGTTGTCTCCGCTTGTCTGTCTTCCTGTCTCTAAACTCCGTAGCTACCGGCAGCCAGCGGCGAGCAGCCTCCGCCAACTCCCCCAAGAGCTGAAGTCCCAAAGTTGCAGTAGGGACAACCACCAGGGAGACAGCCTCGGCTGTACAGACAGCATATGCTGCCTTAGCAGACCCCCCATTGGCTAACATAGGCAATAGCTCCCAGTCCGTTACATGCGGCTGACTCCTGCTGCTGCTGCTGCCTCCTATGGTGCTGCTGTTGCTCGCGTTGCTGTTGCTGATATCGACTTCGAGGGTCAAACGCTCCCTCTTCGTGGCTCCTGCTGCACCTGCTTCTGCTGCTTTCGTTCCCCCTGTGTTTGGTGCTGCTGCTGAGCGAGCGGTGTGCCACTGCAGCAGGGGCAGCAGGAGGGAAAGGGACTTCCCCGAGCCTGTAGGGCTGCAGAGGACGAGGTCTTGTCCCTCTGCAGATCGTCGCAGTGTCTCCTCTTGGCCCCCCAGCAGTTCCCAATATCCCAAGGCTTCCATTAGCCTCTTCAGAAGATATGCAGTGTCTCCTATATCCCGCTCCTGCGTCTGCTGTTCCGGTTGCACCGCCTGCTGCACCTGCTTCATTTGCGGCTGCAGCACGGACGCCGCTCCGCTGCGTCGGCTGGACCCCACACGTAAAAACCCTTTACTTTTATGCCGTGGCGGGGAGAAACTGGAAGATGCTTGCATCGGGGAGGTTCTTCGCACAGAGGAGCATTGTATCTCCTTTGTATCTCCCTTTGCAGACTTATCTGATGTTAACAGGACCCCCTCAGGTTCGCCTTTCGACGACCGGCCCACAATTCGTCCCCTACCCCTCGGAACAGGAGGAAACCCCTCACCGTACGACTTGCTACCTCCTAGGGCCTGCCAGACGCCCACGGTCACCCCGCATGTCCTCCTGTAGGGGCCCTCCGTGCAGATCCCGTAGGGGCCCCGTACGGAGACTGCTGGGGAGGATCGTGTCTGTCCCCATGATGGGCCGCACGAAGGGCCCCGCCGGCGGCCACTTGCACAGTTGTTGGGATAGAAGAAGTTCAAGGGGTGAGCCAACAGCCAGGATGGGACAGCTTCAGACGCAGAGAAGATGAGAGCGTCCTGTAGCACGCAAAATAGGAGGGCCCAGGCCATAAAAACCATCCGATGTAGAACATGGGAACCCCGAGAGCCCCCTCTACATTATACAGGGCTCTGAAACAAGAAAGGTTTGCTGGAGCATACGTGGGTGGTAACGCGACAGCACAGAGGGGGCCCCGGGCCCCCCTGTAGTGCGCAGGCACTACATGGTCCACAGTTGCGGTACCCAGCGTGTAAGATAGAGAGTGAGCACAGCAGCCTATAAGAGATCGGAGGTTACCTAGGTTTAACTATAGATGGAATTCGATAATATTAGTAGGTTCAGAAGCGTATTAGAGGTTTAGCAGTTGATTTGGTGCTGGGGCTGAGCAGCAGCACCCCGTCGCAAAGCTATGCGCGCTGGCGCATGGAAGGTAAGTGACATAGTTAGGTCATGTTTGGCTCTGTGTATTCAATTAAGGATAAAGGTTTTGTGAATTAGAATAAAATTGGTATATTTATTGGCAGAGTTGGTCCGAAAGAGTCGGGCCTTGCCTGCGGTCCGACCGTTGCACCCGGTGCCGGGATGGACGGCAGGGTGTAACCCAAGGTATTTAGACGCTCATTTTGTAGATCTAGCTCATACAGGGGCCTGTAGGCCTATAGGGGTGACTACGTAGCCACGGTACGCGGACACCGTGTGTTACATTTGGGGGCCGTTCCGGGAAATTTTAGGTTTTTTGTCACTTGTTCCATTAGTTTGATTACCTTGTAAACTAGGGGACGTCAATTCGAAAGTTTGGGCTACGACCACTACCGTCTGGGGGCAGATTCAATGATGGGGGGCGATCGAGGTCCCCTAGAGGGGCAGAGACAAGGGTGTGGGGTGCGCTCCTATGATGGAAATAGGGCGCGAGAAGAACCCTACGTACAGAGAATATCTTTAAATTCTGATTCCGATCCATTACAGACAGCGAGAAATGATTACTATGACACGAGAGCTTGCAGGGGCGATCCCTTTTTCCGACCAGTCCCTCAGATGCCACTGGAAGGTGGATCTAGTATGCTGAACTTCCTTAGGAACTTCGAATCAAATTTTAGAGACTGCGGCATACCCAGGGAACGCTGGGGGTATGAGGTGCGCAAGTATCTCAATGGCGAAGCCATAACGTTCTGGTTCCACCTATACGGCACCAATGTAGATCTAAGTGATTGGGAAGAGGTTAGGAGGAACCTGCTAGGGAGATCCTGCAGGGCCGGTTAGGAGGCTACCCTGGTTCTACTGGCTAAGTTAAAATGGGAAGGATGCCCAGGGAAGTATTCATCCGACTTCTCTAGTATAATCTGCCAAACTGAACCCCTGCCACATGAGGAGTTGGTGGCATATTTTCTAGCTAATTTACCTGTGGATATCTATGAGAAACTGACGAGGAGTGTACACTTGAGATTTGAAAAGTGGGAGGACGCCGCTGAGGAGCTGAGGGACGTAGTGGGAAGCTGGGATGAAGCGTTGAAGTACTACCGACGTACACAGCGGGAGCTACGGCACATTCTAACAACTTACGGGAACCACGAACAACAGAAGAGTCCGAGTGAAAGGCGGGAGACCATAGGGGAACACCCGCCTCCTACCAGAGAGCAAACCAGAACTTTAGAATGTTACGTGTGTCGGGGAAGAGGGCACTCAGCACTGGCCTGCCCATCAAGAAGAGAGGCCACTAAGCGCCCTGGGGAAATGTGTCGTCGGTGCGGAGGAGTGGGACACTATGCCTCCACGTGAGCCTCGCCCTACGACAGGAATGGAGCTCCTACTGTGAAGCGAGAGACTCCACCGATACGACCCCGACCTAGTCCACCTAGACGTTTAAACGAGCAGGCCTAGCCGTTGACGGGGACAATCGGGCTAGGCCGATAGCACCTGGTGGCGGTGCTCTGTGTACGATAGCTACAGGGCCCAATAGTATACCGGTTTCGCCGAAATGGCGAGAAAAATTGCTGGGTCGGGTAGCAGCTCCTGAGTCAACCGCACATACGCACAGTGGCTGCTTAGAGCAAGTTTGGAAGGGCCAATGGTGGCGGATGAGTGGGGAGGAAGATACCCAAGGGGGGAGCCTGTGTAGCGCGGGAACAGCAGCTGTCCTGAGAGTGGTGATAGCAGGACAACGATGCGAAGCGTTGGTAGGTACGGGAGCATCCAGAAGCTTTATAAACTCTGATACAGTGAGGAAACTTCACTTAAAGGAGAGATTACTGGCGGAGGAATGCTGTTTTCCTGTGGCTAACGGAGAGAAGTTGAGGATCAGTTGAGTAGTCAAACGGTTAGTTATGTGGAGCGGCGGCATGAAACTAATTGGGGACTTCTTAGTGGGACCGGTGCCTTACGATCTAGTGGTGGGACTAGACTGGTTGACTGAGCACAAGGCTGCATGGTCTTTCCCATCGGATGAACTACGTGCATTGGTAGAGGGCCAATGGATTAAGTTGACACTCGTCCGTGTAAGCAAAGGGAGATCGGAACGGGTTAGCGACCCCCTGGTGCGCCCAAAGCCACCAGCTGAACGGGCGTATGACCTACTAGCCAGACAAATAGCTGAGATGCCAGAGGAGGAGGCCATGGCTCTTCTACGCCCCCAGCCAACGAGGCACAAGTCACACACGCGTAAGGGACTGAAGGTGGATATTAAGGCACTACTACAGCAGGCCAGGGAGAACACAGCTCAGATTCAACACCCGATGCAAGGACTGTCTTCTATCCTCGCTCTCCCGGTGGGTGAGAAGCCCGAAACACCGAACCCGACTGAGGTTGGACAAGGGACATGGTGCTGCGCCTTGTTGGGAACCCCCAAGGTTCCGGAAAGGGACGGGGATAACAGAGAACTGGGGGAACAAGAGCGACTTGACGATGAGGAGGAGTCCCCTTGGCCGACAGCTACCTTGGAGTATTCGCGGTTCGATGAATGACTAAAGTCCGAGGCAGCGTCGTCGACCCCTTCAATCATCCTTGATGTATTGAAGAAATACCGAGCAGTATTCCCTGATCAGCTGCCCGCTGGACTGCCGCCGAAGCGCCCCTTCGATCATCCGATCCTCCTAGTACCTGGGAGGATGCCTACAAAATCGCCGATATACCGAATGACTCCTGAACAATTACAGGCACACAAACAGGAGATAGCCAGACTGACTACCAAGGGATGGATAGGGCCTACATACTCCCCTATATGTGCCCCGACTATCGTGGTGGATAAGAAGGACGACGGGACGGGGGACCGAAGGATGAGAATGGTAGTTAATTATAGGGAGATAAATGCTCTTACGGTGGCGCCCGACTTCCCCTTACCTCCCATTGCCACTATCTTGGAAATGCTGGGAGGGGCCAAGTACTTTTCCTCATTGGATCTGGAGTCGGGATATCATCAGATACGCATGGCGCGGGAGGACAGGTGGAAGACCGCTTTCCGTTCCGTGCTCGGCCTTTTCGAGTACAAGGTGATGCCTTTCGGCCTGAAGGGAGCACCTGCAACGTTCCAAGCAAACATCAACTATTAGCTATAACCATTCTTGGGACAAGGGGTGATAAATTATTTGGATGATATTCTTATCTACAGCTCTGATATACCCGGCAACGCCACTCTATTGAAACAGGTTCTAAGTATCCAGCAAAAGAATTACTTCTTTCCTAAGTTCAGCAAATGTGAGTTCGCAAAGAAAGAACTCACTTACCTTGGGTACACAGTCAGCGCAGAAGGAATCAAACCCGCCGCAGACAAGGTTGCAGCCGTTCAACAGTGGCCGGAGGTGCTACAGAATGTCACCCAGGTGCGGCAGTTCCTAGGCACTGTAAAATACTGTCGTATGTTTATGGGGGCAGACTGTCCTAGAGTGGCCCGCCCCCTACTGGAACTCACACGGAAGTGGGTCCACTTCAAGTGGACGGAGGCCCACACACAAGCAGTGCAACAGCTCAAACGAAAACTCACCGATTACGTCACCCTCCAGATACCCGATACCACGAAGCCTTTTGACCTGTACACAGATGCTTCGGGATTTGCGTTGGGTGCGGTCCTGGAGCAGGAGGGAAAACCATTTGGGTTCCTGAGCCAAACAGTGAACGCTGCGCAGCAGAAGTACTCCATCTATGACCAGGAATTATTGGCACTGGTTACCGCCTTGGACAAGTGGTCACACCTACTGAGAGCTGCAAAGGTAATGGCCTACACGGATCATCAAGCACTAACGCACCTGCAACAACTTAAGGCATCCAAACCTCTTCGGGGGCGCACCGCGAGGTGGCTTGATTTCCTCGCGGAGTTCCCTGAACTGACGATCTCCTACCTGCCAGGCACACGCAATCAAGTGGAGGATGCATTGTCGCGTAACCCTGGAGGGCCTACAACCAAGGCTCCCAGCAGTATTGACACCCCACAAGTCTCCTCGGTTTCCCTCGCACCCGCTGAGGTACCCTTAACTCCACATCGTGAAACTAGAAGACGACGTAACGACTATCGACAACTAGCCGGCATTCGGGCGAGGACGCGGCAACAGCGGAGAAGCGAGAAGCCCACGGAGGCGCCCCTGGACACACAACAGCAGCACGATCGGCCACAGCAACAGACGTGTGCAACACACAAGCCGAATTCCCCTACACACGCCCTCGACTGGGCAGGGGCATACTCTAAGTGTTCAGTCTTCCGCGAAGCTTATACGGCCGCTGCCAAGACCCCAGGAGAAACTGTCCATGTCGAGATTCATCAGCGCCGCTATGGGTTTTGTTACCAGCACCCATACCTGCGCATATGTCAGAATGGCATTTGGCTGATATGTGTCCCACAATTACCGGAGTTCCTAACGCATATACTATACCAGTTCTACGATCACGTCACAGCGTGGCACAGGGGACAAAAGAAGACTCTCCTTGCAATCAGCAAACATTACTATTGGCCTGGGATGCGCACATATACGAATACGTCCGTGGATTCGTGTGTACAATGTCGAGCTTCGAAGAGTGTCACCCAGAAACCCGCCGGCCTGTTGCAGCAACTCCTGATACCGTCACGGCGTTGTCTTGCGCGTGGGGATGAAATGGGCCATCTTGCTCAGTGAATCCACCAGCACCAAGATGGCGTCGTGTCCTGCGCGTGTGTGTGTGGCAGGTCGGTGATAAAGGCCAGGCTCACGTGGCTCCAAGTTCAGCAGCAGACACGGTAGCACTATTGGCGGACAGGCTCATTCGATATCATGGGTTCCCAGAGACCCTAGTCTCAGACAGGGACCCGCGCTTCACCTCGGAGATCTGGGAGGCGCTGTGCTCGCGTTTCAACATCAGAGCAGAACTGTCCCCCCGCTATCACCCACAGACAGACGGACAGACGGAGCGTGTGAACCGCACCCTCGAGGAGATGCTACGCAGATACATACAAACGGATGAAAAGGAGTGGGAGCATCTGTTACCTGCATTAGAGCTAGCGTATAACACCACACCCCACTCGTCCACAGAGCTCTCTCCGTTTGAAGTCATGATAGGGGAGAACCCCCTTACAGCGGCGGACCTAGATATCGTAGGGACGTTACCCCCAACACTCTCCCCTCCTATGACGAAACTCTTCCAGCGCCTCTGCGATAGGGCACAGGCCCACATCCTGCAAGCAAAGTGGAGGCAGAAGTATTACGCTGACACCAGGAGACGCCCGATGGAGTATAAGGTGGGGGATCGAGTGTGGATTAGCAGCAGACACCAGCGTTAAACGAGTGTGCCAAATTGGAGCCTCGGTATCGAGGTCCATTCAAGGTTACTGAGAAGATAGGGGAGGTGGCCTACCGTATCGGCCTTCCCGGAAGTTATGCTGGGCACAACGTTTTCCACGTGTCCCAACTGATTCCTCATCGTCCTCCACCGGCGACACAAATTTCACAAGATGCGCCAGCTGGGTGGCCGCCCTTCGGGACGAGACAGGGAATTCCACAGACCAGTAGCTTGTGGATTATATCTTGGACCAACGAGGCTCGGGATCTTCGGCCTTCTATCTAGTTAAATGGCGTGGCGCCCCCGAGGAATGGGCCACGTGGGAACCCGCACGATCTCTGCAGCAGATACAGTGGTCCTATTAGCTAACAGACTAATCCGGTACCACGGCTTTCCCGGCACTCTCATCTCAGACCGAGACCCCCGCTTCACATCAAAGGTCTGGGAGCAACTTTGCCTACGTTTTAATATCCATCCAAGGATATCCAGCACTGATCCGCGCTTGGAAGAAACGAAGACGCAAACCATTTCAGGAACCAAGCGATCAAAGGGCAGTTTGGACAGCTTGCCCTTATTCATGATACGCGGATGCAAATAGGAAAGGCGGCGCAGTACAGGTCTGCTGTATATATATCGGATATCCAGATATCCTCAAACACAGGGCTGTTGAGTACGCAGTGGGCGACAAGGTACGGCTCAGTGCCAAACAGTTCCCGGCACTGAGCGACTGCTCCAAGTTCGAGCCCCGCTACAGACGCCCCTTGGAAGTGACGGAACGCATCGGGAAAGTCGCCTACCGCCTCGCCTTGCCCGACTCCTACGCTGGACATAACGTCTTCCATGCCTCCCAACTAATCCTGCATCGCCCGAGGCAGGACGCCCAGGTGCCTCGGGAAGCTCCGGTGGGCTGGCCACCAGTTCCCGATGAAGTCGGTAATCCCACAGACCAATTCCTTGTGGATTACATCCTTGATCAGCGGGGCGGGGGGCCTCCGCTCGCCATCTCGTGAAATGGCGAGGCGCCCCTGAGGAAAGATCAACGTGGGAACCAGCACATCACCTCGAAGGTTGTCTGGTTTGAGCGTGGAAACACCACCGGCGCAAGCACCAACGAGAACTACGCCATCAACCCGTTTCGCTTACGCCTCACGTAAGTGTCCAGGAGGGGGGAGGAGGGGGGGCCTGCGCACCCACTGCATGCCTCTACACGGTTGGGGTCCTTAACACCGGCCAGTTGCAGTAGTCGTAGTACCCCAAGACGTGCGGTACACGAATAGAAGAATGAAAGCGAACCGAGGTAACACTACTGGAGTAGCATCTCGTAGTGCCGGGCTAAGTACAACCTCTAACTACCCAAATCCCCAGAAGTCTATGTTGAAAGTATCAAATCATGTAAGTCACTCCTATTAACAAGGGGAGTTCATAGAATAAAAGAACTGTGCGTTCGGAACTGACCCCGGTCTTCACTGGGGTCAGTGCCCAACCTATAAGATGGCGGGGAGATATCAACAGCGACGACACAGTCAGGAGCCTGCACTATAACTCCAATCCACCAAAATGTCATATTGACAAGCTTTATATATATTAATAATTCTATTTCTGTTTCATGTAGACCTATAAAGGACCTAACTGGCTCCCAAGGAGTGGCTAAGCATTGCGATACACTGCCGATAAGGGTGACTGGGGGGTAAACCTACTAACCTGACTCTACCTACGGTACTCGATTCTTAGTACATTTAGCAGTATTAGTTCCCTTTCCTAGTTACTAATGCCCTAATCCCAATATTCATTCCACAGGCACTACAATGTGGCTATGGTGTGATCTCTAGTAGCTTACTGACATCACACCAGAGCCACATTGTCGTGCTTGTGCACTACAGAAAACCTTTCGTGGCAACCAGCCAGGCTAGATAATTTGCTCCACTCAGGCTTGAGAACTTTCAAGTTTCTGCATTGATATTTTTCTGGCAGTTTGGAGACGATATTATTGATCAGCACTGGTCCTGTGTAGGCTCAGGGGCTAGGGGGCTTGTCGCAGAGGAAGTGACCCTGCGAGTTGCCGAACCTTCTTTGGGGTCCTCCGTTGGGTTGAGTCTTCTTTCAGGCACCCCTTTTTTGACTAAGGCTGAGCAGCTTTTGACATCTGTAAGAACCACAAGGGCTGCTGATGCAGTGTAGCGGATCACTCCAGCCGCAGCAAGCGCGTCCTGCCCTCGCCGCTGGTCTCCCCGCGGTGGCCCCGCAGTGGCCCGTAGACAAGAGCTGTAGAGCTGGCGGGTTGCACAGTCCCCGTCCAATAGGTGCTACCATGAGAAGGGAGGAGATTGTGTGCCTACGAGAAGACAGTTGATGCGACAAGCTCCTGCCACTTGTCCCCGAAGGGGCTGCAGTGTAGTGTCTACGGTCGTCTGCCTGCACTACTTCTATCAAGTCTACTTCCGTCTATCTACCCCTAAGGCGATCGAAAAATCTCTTGGGAATTCTTTTTAATGGACTGACGGGGCAGAATAGGCTCAAAAAGCAAGACATGCTCGAGTTATATGGTCACCCTTCACCGTATCGGGATTTATGAAACTTCTAGATGCTCCCGTGCCTACCAATGCCTCGCATCGTTGTCCTGCTGTCACCAGTCTCAGAACAGCTGCTGTTCTTATATGGTCACCCAGGGAGGAATCCCTAGATTAATAGGACTGACTGTAAAGAATACGGCTCTGATACGTGTAACCTCCACTGGGTTCAGCGGCTATTTCAAAAACTAGGGGGGAGAAAAGCGGGAGGGAAACAAGCTTGAAGGAAACAACGCTTCCCCAATAGCAGCTTTCCAAAGCAAGGGCCGACGCGATTGGCCCCCACACCGGGTGTAGTGCACGGGCACTACATAGCCCAACATAGTTGCGCTAGCTTACGAGTAAGGTAGAGGGTGTATACTAGGAGACACTCGAGGTCTGAGGTTACCTAGGGTTAACTATAGATGGAATTCAATAATATTAGTAGGTATCTGAGCATATTAGAGGTGTAGCAGTCTATTAGAGGTAGGGGTCTGCGCAGCAGCACCCAGCCGCTGAGCTATGCGCGCAGGCGCATAGAAAGTCAGTGGCATAGCTAGGCCATGTATGGCTCTGTGTATTCAATTAGAGATAAATGTCTTACTAATTAGAATGCCATTGGCACATTCAGAAGCAGAGTTAGTCCGAAAGAGTCTAATCCACAAGGTACTGGTCTGTGGGATTCCCTGTCTCGTCCCGAATGGGCGGCCACCCAGCTGGCGCATCTTGTGAAATTTGTGTCGCCGGTGGAGGACGATGAGGAATCAGTTGGGACACGTGGAGAACTTTGTGCCCAGCATAACTTCCGGGAAGGCCGATACGGTAGGCCACCTCTCCTATCCTCTCAATGACTGAGAAGGGACCTCGATACCGAGGTTCACAATAGCTACAGGGCCCAATAGCATACCGGTCTCTCCGAATTGGCACGAAAAATTGCTGGGTCTGGTAGCAGAACCTGAGTCGACCGCGCAGGCACACAGGGGCTGCATAGATCAAGTATGGAAGGGCCAATGGTGGCGGATGAGTGGGGAAGAAGATATTCAAGGGGGGAGCCTGTGTAGCGCGGGAACAGCAGCTGTCCTGAGAGTGGTGATAGCAGGACAACGATGCGAAGCGTTGGTAGGTACGGGAGCATCTAGAAGCTTCATAAATCCCGATACAGTGAAGAAATTTCACTTAAAGGAGAGATTACTGGCGGAGGAATGCTGTTTTCCTGTGGCTAACGGAGAGAAGTTGAGGATCAGTTGAGTAGTCAAACGGTTAGTTATGTGGAGCGGCGGCATGAAACTAATTGGGGACTTCTTAGTGGGACCGGTGCCTTACGATCTAGTGGTGGGACTAGACTGGTTGACTGAGCACAAGGCTGCATGGTCTTTCCCATCGGATGAACTACGTGCATTGGTAGAGGGCCAATGGACCAAGTTGACACTCGTTCGTGTAAACAAAGGAAGATCAGAACGGGTTAGCGGCCCCCTGGTGCGCCCAAAGCCACCAGCTGAACGGGCGTATGACCTACTAGCCAGACAAATAGCTGAGATGCCAGAGGAGGAGGCCATGGCTCTTCTACGCCCCCAGCCAACGAGGCACAAGTCACACACGCGTAAGGGACTGAAGGTGGATATTAAGGCACTACTACAGCAGGCCAGGGAGAACACAGCTCAGATTCAACACCCGATGCAAGGACTGTCTTCTATCCTCGCTCCCCCTCTCAGGTGACACCTCACAAGTGAAGAGACGAAAAGAAACGCAGTAAGGCCTGGGGCTTATGCATGCATACGTTTCAAGAAGGAGAAACAACATACAACGCCATCTACGCCACAACTGTCACCCACGGCGGCCGTTTGCCGTGACTACGAATCACTCACTAATAGGCCTAATGCCCCTATGGTGCTAGATCTACAAAATGAACACCTAAATACCTTAACTCTCAGTTATTCCCAGGAAACTTCCGAAGGAAGGTTCGATCCAAATCGCCTTCCATCATGGGTGTCTGATCGTCCCCGCCAGCTGCGGGTTACACCCTGCCGTCCATCCCGGCACCGGGTGCTATGGCCGGACCGCAGACATGGCCCGACTCTTTCGGACTAACTATGCTCCTGAATGTGCCAATTTCATTCTAATTAATAAGACCTTTATGCCTAATTGAATACACAGAGTCATACATGACCTAACTATGCCACTTACCTTCTATGCGCCAGCGCGCATAGCTATGCGGCTGGGTGCTGCTGCTCAGCCCCAGCACCTAATATGTAGATCTCTACCAAGGAGCGAGCTTCTGCATATCGACGAAGGAGGGCTGCTCAGGAAGAATAGAGAATAAGAGGGGAGTCAAACAAGGCTGCCCTCTCAGCCCCATTCTTTTCAATCTTGCCATTGAGCCGCTACTGCAGCAGTTGGCAGCATGCAATGAAGGCCTAGAACTACGCACGACAAACGGGA